AAAAATAACAACACTTTGTCAGGACCATGAGGCGATCATTCCTACCAACTTTCAGTTCAATCGGCCCAGCAGAACTTGACTTTAAGTTTGAAATGTAAAATGTTAACGGACGATGGACGACGGACGACGGACGACGGACGACGACGGACGAAAACGGATAGCAATAGGTCACTTGAGCTAAAGCTCAGGTGACCTAAAAAACTATTTTCCATTTAAAAGAAGGGCATAAATTGATCTGTAGCACATCACTTTGTGGTTATCCCTATGTGTATACAGGTCATCAAATATATAATTGTGTTCTAACTTTATAGCTGGACAAAACGGAACCACAAACATATACAAGAGGCCCATAGGGCCTGTATCGCTCACCTGGATATCTTAGCAATCATGGCAGAATATTCTCCAAATGCGATCCAAAGGAATATGCCAGACCCCAAGGCCAATCCTTGTAGCATATATATATGTATTCGATTTTTCATGCCCAGCAATTTTATGTATGGTAATGGGGTGGGGATCTCAACTGTTTCCAAGCTGTGACTCAGAAACTAGGTCCCTACGGTTGTGGTCCGACCCCAGGATCAATTCTAATATCATGACTGCATTTGTCTCTTTTTGCCCAATATTTGTATATATAGTTTTGGGTCGGGGATTTCAACCGTTTCAAAGTTATGACCCAGGGGTTAAGTCTGCAACGGTGGGGCAAACACTGGGGTCAATTCTAATATCATGACTGCATTTGTCTCTTTATGCCCAACAATTGTATATATAGTTTTGGGGTGGGGATCTAAACCATTTCAAAGTTATGACCCAGGGGTTAAGTCTCCAAGGGTGGGGCAGTCCCCAAGGCCATCCTGGAAGCATATGTGCATTCATCTCTTTATACTCAGCAATTGTATATGTGGTTATATGGTGGGGATCTCAACCATTTCCAGGCAATAAACTTTTTTTGGCCCCACCTCTTACCCGGGGGGGTCAGCCCCACGATTTGTACAATTTTGAATCCCTGCCTCCCATGAATGCTTCTGACCAAATATCATCGATATCCATGGCATAGTTCTACAGAAGAAGTTGTTTATAGCAATCTAGCCAAATTGCCCCCTTTTGGCCCCGCCCTCAGCCCCACCATTTGTACAATTTTGAATCCCCACCACCTAGGGATGCTTTCAGTCTAATATGGTTGATCTCCATCACTTAGTTCCAGAGAAGTCGCTTAAAGCAATACAGCCAAATAACCCTTTTTGGCCTTGCCCCTTAGCCCCCCTGGGGGGTCAGCCACACCATTTGTACAATTTTGAATCCCTGCATCCCATGAATGCTTTTGATTAAATATGATTGATATCCAGTGCATAGTTCTACAGGAGAAGTCGTTTATAGCAATCTAGCCAAATTGCCCCCTTTTGGCCCCGCCCTCAGCCCCACCATTTGTACAATTTTGAATCCCCACCACCTAGGGATGCTTTCAGTCTAATATGGTTGATCTCCATCACTTAGTTCCAGAGAAGAAGTCGCTTAAAGCAATATCGCCAAATAACCCTTTTTGGCCTCGCCCCTCAGCCCCCTGGGGGGTCAGCCCAACCATTTGCACAATTTTGATTCCCCACCACCTAGGGATGCTTCCAATCAAATTTAGTAAAATTCCAATCAGTGGTTAAGAAGAAGTCGTTTAAAGAAATTGTTGACGGACGGACGACGGATGACAGACGGACGGACGCCACGGTATGGCATAAGCTCACCTTGGTCCTTCAGACCAGGTGAGCTAATAATCAAACTGATCATTCAGAAGGCTAACAAATTTTCATCAAAATCTTTCTTGATATTCAGATAGGCCTATTCATTAAATGGAGAGACAAGTTGACTTTGAGCAAACCAATAGACCCTTAGTGCTCCACACATTTTCAGAAGTACCTTGACAATTGTAACGCCACTGTGTCTGCGATTCTTGTCCAACACTGATTTAACCTTGAACTTCGTCTTCTTTGCTGGGTTCTCGCCACCCGACATGTTACTCTCTGTGTCAGAGGACTCGCGGACATCTTTAAGTTCGCGATGAAGTTGTCTACAACAGACGAATATCAAATACCTTTAAAAGAGTGATAGTGATACAAGTTTCATACAAACGGATAGTAGTTGAAAAGGTTTCCTGTTTTAGAAACATGTCATTTCAAATTCTAGAATCAGTATAAACCTTACAAACTTAAGAAATATATAAGGAGAATGACGTCTGTCTGCTTGTGGTCTGTTCAGTGAAGATCAGCATACCCCAGATGATGAATTCCTAAATCAAGTTTTGGCTGTAAAAGGAATCGAAATTTAAAAGAAGAGATGACCAGACAACATCAAATGGGGAGTCTGAGCAACTTTTAATCCATGTAGTGGTTTAAAGTTGCGGACACTCCCTAATCCATGTTGTTTGGCCGTCTTTTCTTTTGGATTTATGAAATATTTTCATGATGAACGTTGACATTTAAACCAAATAACATCACTTAAAAGAGCAAATTTAAGAGATGAGAAATAGACAATGAAATACTATTTACATCTCAGAGATGAATATCATTGATCCTCTAAAAAGTTTTCACACCTATTTTCCTCCTCTAGCTCTTTAATCACCCGTTCCAACTCATCCCTTTGTTTCTTCAAATTATCCACCTGGTGAACATTCTCCTGAAAAAAGAAAATTAATTAGATGAATTGTATGCTATTCAAATATAAAATACTGGTACTGATAAATTTGAAAATAATGCTTTGACACATCAGTTTGATATTGTGTATTTATAACATTAAGGATCTGTGTCTCACAGCATTGTGTTTTTTCCTATATACAGTTACCTCCCCTTAACTTCTGTTCAGATATAACTGTAGACCAGTTGTGCCTGGACACTTCAGGTGACAAGGTAGTTAAATCGGTCTCATTAACCCTTTCACCCCTATGTAACTTTAGTAGACTCTACCATGCATTGATCTGGAGGAGTCCATTTTGGTCTACAGTGTTGAAAGGGTTAAAGTCAGGATTTTTTTTACCCGAAACTGTTCAATTTTAAAACAGACAAACCGGTTAAACCAGGTACGAGAAAGGGGCCTAGGTTACAGTTTCAGACAGTGGTATGGATATCCTTAACTGATATTTAAATATTGTAGATGTAACTACACCATTAGGTCCTATCCTGATTCATCCTCCTACCTTGTTGTCCGATGAGTTGCTGATGTTGATATTGGGGACAACCCCCACTGGGGACCTGGACTTGTCGTGGTCGGAGTTGTGTATTTCCAGGTCTGCCAGTCTCTGTGCGTTTTCTGTCAGGTTCCTGTGAACATCTGGTATTGGTGGCTCGGCCCGCACACTCCTGAAACACACAGGATAGTATACGTGGTGTAAATCTTTTATATTTTACAATCTACAATTCAATTTATTTTTTATTTTTTACACTCTACAGTTTTTACATTTTTCCATCTTTTATATTTTACAAGCTTAATCACATTTTATGTTAAGAGAGTCTTAACTTAAGTAAGGAATACACATAAATATCATTCTTCAATTTAAAAAAATAGGTATATCGCAACAAATTTCAGAAATATTTGAAAACACATATATGCTTTTTACTTAAATATGCCTCTTTTATTTCACACAATAATATCCTTCTGAATTGAGCATAATTTCAGCAAAACAAGCATTCAAAATAGCAAGTGACAAACATGGAAACATCCTATACAGGAAATACCAAATCATATTCATTCATTTCAATTTTGAATTTAAAAAAAAATAATTTACATCTGAATTGGTTTTTTCGTTGTTATCAATGCAAACAAGTTATTCATCTTACCAGGACAACGTCTTACAAGGAGTAATGGCGTACCTTATGTGGTGCTAGACTTGCACAAGACCGATATTTTAGAATATTCCCAAAAAATATCAAAACTGCACTGAATGTAAATATAAGGATAGAATCTTGTTTTGTTTTAATAGTTTCATGGGGTATAAACCTCAACAAAACAGGATTCAATCCTGAAATTTTATATTCAGATGTGCAGACTTTTCCTATGTTTTTCTACGTAAAGTTATTTGGATTCATATTGAAACATAATCATGAGAGTCTTGAAGCAATGAGTGGTCGGGTGGCACAGTGGATAACCCACTCGGCTTTCACCAAGGCGGCCAGGGTTAAATTCACGATTGGATGTAAAAAGGTATTGAATCACCTGCTCAACCATGGGTTTTCTACAGGTACTCTGGTTTCCTCTTACATAATGACCCCACACACGCTAACGTCCAAGCCAACAAGAGTGATTAATATAGGTTGAAATAACTTGTTCCATAATTGTTGTAAAATAAATAAAGTCAATATTTTTTTTTAGCATTGATAAATTCATATTTTTTACTTTTTGCTTGGTAAAGACACATAACCTTTAAGCCCAGTAGTACTTTTCATTTCTTTCCTATAAAAAGGAATTTGGTGTTTAGTTGATGTCCTGTATGCTATTTACCAATTATTCTGGCAGTACTGGTTCTCTGACATCAGTGGTAGGTACTTCTGTTTCGCTTTCTGGCGGTGCTTCTTGCTTACTTTGTTTCTCATGGTCCTAAAGAATGCCTTGGTGTCCTCTTTGGAGGATGTCTGTGAATGAAATAGAAAATGGTTAGTGTCACCCTGGTAAATCACTATCCACTTCCTAACAATAGTTGCAATGAAAAATAGCATCCTCTTTTACATTGGCACCCACATATAGGGACCTGGCAAAAGCATTTCTCGTTACTCCTGGAACCACTGGAGTGTTACAATACACAAAGTACAAAGACTCAACAAGGCATCACACACCTTCATTTACATAGTTTCAAATTATAAACAAATTACTACTGAAGTTGTGTGAACAACCGTTATGATATACAACGGTGTATAAAGAGGACATTAACTGGCTCACCTTTAAGCAGTACTCCTGTATAGGGTGTTTAAGCTTGTGGTTTTTCTTTGTCCTCCCGGTAAAGAAGCAGTTCTGACACATATCAAAGTTGAAGCACAGCAAACATTTGTATCTGTGTAGAGGAATCATTTCACAAATCATTAACTCATTCACCCCTGCAGACACATTTGAACTCATCCAATTTTCAAGGTTGGAATAGTTCATTATAAAATTTCAGGTGTGAATGAGTTAAACAGAATATTGAACTTAAAATATCTAACAAATAACAAATGGCGGACTTTGACTTATGAAGATTGTGCAACGTTAGAAGAAAATATTTAAGTCAACAGACTGATGGACATCAACTAAATACTCCAATGATTATACATGTCAAACAGTAATAAAATGGTTTTAAGAAAAAAGGAAGTATTAAGAAGACAGAGAAGAAAATGAAAATTGAAAAAAGGCAACGGTTTCCACATCTATTTTGCTTTATTTTTGTGAATCATACATATACAAGGAAGGTAATTTAAATTTTCGGCAAAGATTCCCCCCCCCCCCCCCCCCCCCCCATTTGAATGGATAGTTAAAAGAAAGGCAATACACTTGCATTTGTTTCACTCATATCTGAACCAAATCATTTGACAACTATACATCTGATCAACTTACCTGAACCCAACTATTGGACAACTTTTACAGATGTTGCACTTGGATTCATGTTTCACTGTCAAAAAATGAATATTATATTATGACGAGATTTGATGTTGAATTATCAAACACAAACAATATTTGTTCTATAGAACAATAAAGTATTTGAAGTTTTAGATTCGAAACAGTCATCACAACTTTTTTGCTCTTTTATGACTAAATACTATTGATGAGGGATTTTCGAACATTGCATTTTTGTATTTGAATTGTTACAAAAAACATCTTCATACTTTTCTTCTGTATTTCTTTTTGACTGGATAAAGTGGCAAAGACACATGAGGACTTCATGGCTAGCATATCGTGGTAAAAGCAGCCAAAATGACCAAAGCTATTACCTGCTTCAGATGCTGCTGTCCTATGAAAAGTAGGAAGCCAAACCAATGTCTGTGGTTCACGCAGCAACCAGCTGTAGAACACATCATCAGAAATTCCCACTCCACCATTACTCTGTAAACAACCAAATCTTGTCATCAAATATACTAACTCTGCCATCACTCTATAAGTCATCAAACCATCCGATATTCCCACTCCACCATTACTTTGTACACATACAACACTGATATAATACCACCTCATGTGAATTAATTTGTGGATTTTCAATCATTATTTAATAGAGGTATCCTTGCCCTAGATTAAGAATACTTTTAACTTTGCATTTGATGTTCATCTTGATTCTTACAAACCTGATAAAAAATATAACAATTTTTTTCTTTTGATTGTTTAGTCAATTTTTTAACTCAAAAGATTTTGACCGTTTACAAATAAGGAGAAAACTGCCCTCACCATCTGCATACAGCTGGCCACTGCAGGTGCCACATCCTGGCCAAAGAGTCCACTCTCCTGAAGAAGGTCCGGCAGCTGAGGAGTAGAAGGGTCAACATTCTTATATCATAATGTATCAAGATCTTTAATCAAATATTATTGAAATAGATCATGAAATAGTCTAATTTTGGACACCAGCAAATAGTAATTTCAACATGCTGCATATACGTAAACATGGCTACTTTGTAAAAATGATGCAGAAAGATATACTCTCAGTAAATGTATAAATACTATTGATAGGCTGATGGTTTTTTATAATCGAAAATTGGCCTTTTTGACCTTTCCGAACCTGATTATTGAATACAAATTCCATAATCGATATAATCAGTTCATTATTGGAATCAAAGTGTCAAATGTATACCATGTACAGTATGCATGGAAAGTCATTTTACTATATGATTGACAAAACTGCATAAAAGTTGCTTAAAATCCATTCATTTATGATATAAAATAACGAAACCTAATGTATAGTTAATATTAAACTCAGTCTATTGATGAAACAGAAGCATTTTCACTATTTTTGGATATTTAGTCCCATAAAATTATAAACCGATTATGCAAACAACCATCAGATGGTTTACTACTTTCGGTTACAAAACGAATATTAATTATGATTTTAAACTGATTGCCCATCACTAATAAATACCATTACTGTTGCCTCCAGGCAGTATGTAATACATTTAAATTTACAGTAATCATTAACCTTTAACATTCCCCATCAGTCTCCATTGTAGAGTAAGTCTTTCATGAATATTTTCTAATCTGACCAATTATTCTGCGCAATATTTTTAAGTTTGAGACACACATACATCACAGAGATTCTTATGTGCAGGCCACTGGTTGCTAAAGTACATTCAGTGTCTTACCTGAATCATATCCTCCAGAAAAGAGGTGAAACTTTTACTGCTGATGTAGGTACTAGGGTCATGAAGCTCATGGTAGTATGCTGCAAGTCAAAACATGTAACTTTTGAAATTACCATATGATATATGCAATTAAAGATAAATTCATATAAAAAAATTGTGCTTTGGTAGGTAATATTAGTCTAGAACCTCTGAAATTTTGTTATCCTTTGTTAAGCAAAGTTGATATTTTTCAGGTATGTTATAGGATTTTTCAGCATGTTACAAGAATGGCAAAACATGTTATATCACATGATGTACTGTGTTATCCATTGAATAGACCCATGTCATATTTTTAGGCGTATTAACCCGTATAATATGACCTATAGCTATCAGCCCTGTGATTGGTTGTAAGTTTCAACTGTGACGTCACGCCTAGGACAAGTACATGACGTCACAGACTTACGCACTGGAGTCAAAATGGCGGCTTTTTACATTTCAAAGTTGCATGAAAATTCTCGTTTTACACGAATAAATACCTCAAATCTTGATCATGTGATAAAAAGGATCTTACACTCGTTTTCACTTCATATGAAATTTTTGAAACTCGTAACAAATTTTACATTTTAGCTCGCCAAAAGGCTCGCTAAATTGAAAAATTCTTAAGACTCGTTTCATAAATCTCATATGAAATGGAAACTCATGCATGATCCTATATGTATTACACACTTGAAGTGGCAGTTGAGAACCCTGCGACACACAGACAATGGCTGTCCTCCTTACCTTTGTATTTCTCGGCTAACTTGGCGGCACACAGAGTGATGAGCACCAGCTTCAGGGACACAACCTTCACACGCCCTATTCTGTTTCTATAAACAACACACATAAAGACAGAGTGTTAAGTTCACCCAACTAGGTAACTGATTGTAACATACCGTGCACTTTAGTACACAATTATGATAAGAAAACCAGACATGGGCGTTGAAAGTCATTGTGATAATTAAGATATTGTTTCTGAGATACAAGTTTCCGGAATCAAAGTCACCTGTATATTAAGGGGGGCGTATGTACTTCAGGTGTAAAAGTAAATCAGTGCCAAACTAACTTCGTTGAAGTAAAACATTCGTAAATATGTACAAAAATGGCTGAAAAGTACCCCGCTTTAAGACATACAGTCTGAATCGGCACACCAATTGTTTCGTATATATTGTTTTGTGCAACTCTCAGATCTCAGAGTATACAGGAAGTACACATGCCCTCATATCACAATCATGACATGCATATCTAAAACTCAGTCGAATTCAGAGAGAAAAGGTATCCTGGAAATAAGTTATTAATAAAAAAATCTCAATTTTTCTACACTTCCATTTTTATCCACATGCATGCTTACTATGAACAGTTTGCTATCACAAAAGTCACCAAGTACACATTGTGATAAACTATCCAGAAATAAAATATTAAACATGCAAGTCATCTATTGGTGGTAACTACAGAATCGGTCAAATAAGTGAAACAATGGAATGTGCTCAGAGCTGTACACCTTCAACCTTGTAACACATAAAGTATTGAGAACTGCAATATTTTCACACATACCCCAAAATATGTGCCCACTGGTCAAATGAAACCAATTTTCCCAGTTCTGAATTTGCTCTCCCCTTGTTTTAAGACTGAATTTATTATGTACATGTATGTACATGTATTTTCTTTGTCCATGTTAAATTTGTGTTCACACATCAATCAAGGACAAAACGTGTAAAAATAAAGGAGCCAAATTTCTCATTTAATACAAAATATCTCCAAAATCAAAAAAAACACTGTCATCTGTAACCGTTGGTTAGAGTGCTGTAATTAGTTCAGAAATCCTTACACATCAAACAGGTTGAGAATCAGATTCTGCAGCAGTTCAGCGTGGATCTCAGCATCCTCCATTTCTATGACAAGCCCATGGTCAGCCCGGTTATAGAGCTCAGTCAAGAGGTCATGAATCTCCTGACAACTTATCACATTCAAGCATCCCTCTGCATAGCCATACTGCTCAAACACATCTTTTACTGTCGATATACTGATCTGGTACACTAAAAACATGTAAAAATATATAGATGTCACAACTTTGTTTCACAGGAAACCAAACACCTTCACACCTATATCCATGATATTCTGTAACACAATATCAAAACAAAATTGGTCTCTTCATACCTCTCCTGACTTAAGAAATGTTATGTTCTTTTTATATTTTTCCACATCTTAAAGATGGATCTTTGCATCAAATGTTTATATTTTACACCAATTTTAGTATTATTTTTAAAGAAAACAGAATTTCACCATTCGAACACAGGAAACTTCATCATTCAATTACTAAAAGCAAATTGAGTATTTTTTATTAATGCACTTGTATTACAACTTACATAACCTCTCAATGAGGAATTTACACATACCATATAAAAAGAGGAGTCTTAATCAGATTAAATCAAACATTACAGTCAACTATCAGAACACCATTGTCACAGCATACACAAACGTCCTTCATATTTCACAGAATCTTTTAAACAAACATGTTTCAATGTCTCATAAATAAAATTCCATCGAACGTGTTGGTACTGAACATGTGCTGTATATATAAAATAGATACTGACGTCGGAGTCGCTTCTGAAGATGTCGGATCTTGAATGCTGCTCGGTATGCTGCATACTTGATAGCACTGTACTCTCCTGATACACCAGAACATTTTGAAATAAGAAAGAAAGAAAGAATGAACTTGATGAAAGGGTTATGACAAAGAAGAACTGGTATCAATATTTGTAATATTTACCATTCCCCCCCCCCCTCAAAAAAAAAAAGTTATTTAAGTGCCTTGTGAATTTGATGAAGATACTAGCAACTTCTTTTCTTATGATGCATTAGAAAAGAAGTTGCTAGTATCTTCATAAGTTTGCCATTTAGCCATTTAATTTTATGAAAAATATATTGACAAATACATTTTTCATTCAAATGTATATTTAAACTTCACTATTGTAGTCATGATCAATGGAGATGTATCTACATCATCAGGTTTGATAATACATCATCAAGAAATGATTCAAGTTGATTATCAATTATGACATCGGAGTCAAAAGAATGGCATTTTCACATGATAGTTATTATACTCATATACTTCCTTTCTTGGCATTTCTCCAAAACACCCTTTCATGTACTTAATTTTGTCAGAATTGGCCTCATACTGTTCTTTTTAAGCTAAATGACATAAGGTCCACATGCTGGCATCATAATTTTGATACAACATTGCATGTTATGACAGAAAAGGCAGATTATAAATAAATAGTAACCCAGCAAAATTTGGATACCAAATATAAATTTTTGCATTTAAAAAGGTGAAAAACTGTATACCTGTACTTTTCAAATAATTGAACCCTTAACTCAACAAAACAATAGAAATGAAGTAACAAATCTCAAACATTCAACACATTTAGATCTGTATCACAGTGACTAGTCATGACCATAGACAATATATAATGTAACAAACAACCATGTACAGAACATAGCAGTTTGGTACTGTTAACATTAATACTTAGGAAGCTTATTAACAGATCTTGTACAAACTGGGAAAAGCCTGACGATGGTTTATACTGTATGTATCTACTGTCTGACGATGGTTTATACTGTATGTATCTACTGAATGTTCCTAAGATAATGACCTGTCCTATTTACCTAGTTCCTCCATTATCTTCAGCAAGTATGGATGGTCCCATGTTGTTCTCTGTAGAGTGTGACTGAAATTATAACAAGGCAGAATCAGTTCACATTCTCATTTTGCACCAGCAAACAATTAACCTGATTATCATCTTCACTAGCCAAGTGTTCGCTTCGTATACAATCCACTTACTCTTGGCGTGTATACAAAGCGAGCACATGGCTAGCGAAGATGCACAATTATATCCATTTTCATTTCAGTGTCAACTATACAGTAAATAATGCAACTTTCCCCATAAATTTAAATGCAATCGTGTTTCAGGTCAGAAAAAATATGAGACAAACTGCCTCATATAGCTCACAGGTGTTATAACATTCTCAATATTAACGAATGATCACTTTAACAGATGACCATATACTTTATAATAATAATGATAATTTGAGGTTATTATATACTGCTTTAGTTCGTAGGTCGTCTCAAAGTGGTTCACAAATTATTATCCGTGGTTATATATAAAGGGCCTTTTCAACCAGCCAATATCTTTCTCAACTCCCTGGGGAGCATACAGCCGGTGTCGCTATATCGGCACTCACAGCTAGCTTTCAACAATATTCCAGCACTGCCAAACCACATGCTCATTTACAGCTGAGTAGACTGGAACAAAAGGAGTAAAATATCTTGTTCAAAGATACAACACAGAGCCGTGCCGTGACTCGATCCCACAACCCTTCGGTCATGAGCCTGACGTGCTACCACTAGACTACCATGCCTCCTTACCAACTACTCAATGCAGCAAATCAAGATGCACTTAATCAACATCAATCAGTACTACCAATTTTTTATTTGTATGTGTTTATACCAAAGTTAATCAAATGTTAATAAAGGTCACGATCAATGTACATGTGATGATCAATGAAATATCAATATGAAATACCTTTCATTTACACCTTATACCAAAGCACAGTTTATCAATGTTAATATACCCACTGTAGCTCTACCTTTATATATACATGAACATCATGCAAATAAATCTATTATTTCTTTCATACCTTATATAATATGGAACACCACTGTTGGTCTCCGCCCTTTCCCAGCCATCAACAATTCTATCTGAAATTTAAAATTATAATAGAAGTACATACCGTCATAAAATTTCAACACAAATTTTATATAAACAAAACTAAACAGGAAATCTTGTCTTGAAACATTTAGAACATTTTTGGTCCATATTCTTAAGGACTTGCACAACTAAATCAGCCAATCAGCAAGTGTTTCATACGATTGTATTCTCTACCTAAAATTTGTTCCGGGTTAATACAGTGCCTCTGAGTAATTTAAATAGGTAATTGTTGACATATTTTACATTGAAGGAAATCTACAGATATTGAACTTAAGAAAAATGTATAGTTTTAGTAGATTTTAAAATGTGATGGCGGATTGATATGGGGTCAAATGTCAGGGGCTGTTCCCGTCCCACTTCACCGGTTTAGCTTGTTAACTCCCGGTTCTCAAAAGCAGACGCCTGTTTACGTATATGCCACTACACTCCACACAAAAATGCCTTTTGAAGCCTTTGTCAGGTATGTATCTGTGAATCTAGACAGTTGTCACTAGTGTTGAACTTCAAAATATTAACACTAGTGGGTCTAAAGCTTAGTAATAACACATAGTAAATGATTTAGTTGTGCGAGCCCCTAATGGACAACAGGTAATTTTTTCCCCACAAAATGTTTTTTATACTTCAAACAGTAGAGGGATGGGGAGATAATATGTAATGCTGATAAAAAAAACCAACATATTGTATAATTTTATATTAATTGTTAGTAATACATAACTGTATTTCATTTTTCCAGTATTCATGATGACAGAACTGAGGCATAATTTTGTTTCAATAATTTGCTTCTAATAAATACTTTGAAGGAACAAGGCACTTAATAAGATAACAAAACATGGGTTGTGCCAGATGCTGCAAAGGCAAAGTAGCTGAGGGACACATTATCTGGAAAAATTCGATTTTTTTAGTGTATATACCGTATTTATCCTGAAATAAATATTGCCGGGCTTATAACCAAGCATGGGCTTATTGCCAAATAAATATGGTAGTAATATTTTTGGTTAACTGGAGAGCCAGAATGGAGAGTAAATGGGAAAGGAAAGCTTAAATAATTCAGTAGCTGGTGAAAAAGGAGGATGGGCATTTATAAAGGGAAGGGTGCTATTTAAGGTGAATACATTTTACAGTAAATTCATTTTTAAAATATTTTTTTGAAATTTCCGTGTGACCTTTTCCAGACGACTGCCACAGACAACTACCACAGCAACAGTGTCTATAACATAATATATCAAAATAACTGTTGTCTCTTTCATAAAAGTTCCTTAACTATAGAAATTCCTTAGTTTCACTAGAAAGCCTTACCCCTGTTCTGTAATACTGGTAATTAACTGCAATGTTTTCCAATGAAAAATCTGCAGTTCATACAAAACATGATTAATATTTCTCAGAGTGAATATATATATATTATTTCCGGTTAGGTCCAGCTAATGGGGTAATTATTTCTATATAATACAACACAAGCAAGTAACCTGTTAGGAACAAAAATGAAGATTGTAACAATTTATGAAAATTGACCTGGCATTTTGAAGCAAGAAGTCCAAATGTGGACTGTGGGAAATGTGTGTCCATTGTAGGCTAACATTATAGAGTTCAAAACTACAATGTAGGTAACTGCCAGCCACTTCTTTTGTATCAAATTCAAAAGGGTTGTAAAACCAACGTCAGTTGATGGCGTGTGGGTCGCTCATGTATATTGTCAATGTAATGATTAGTGCCCATTTGATATTAAGTTGAATAGCATATTAGAAATCATTGAATCAATGTGATCATCTTTTACAAGGAAAGGATGGAGAGGGGTTTATAAATCATGACTTAAATTCAGCTTAAAATAATATCTGATTTTGGAACCATACCTTTCAATTGTCATAATTATCAAACAAGGCAATCAACCAAATCAGAATATCTACTCTGTAGGATTTGAAACAGGGAGCTTGAGACACAAAGGACAACAGTGAAATTTAAGGGTCAATTTTGGGTCTAATAAAGGCCCCTTCCCCAATAAAAATGTATGCTGTATGTTCCCAAATTAAATGCAAAAATCACTTTATTTTTCTAAACTCATGTCTTTTCTCAGAGTCGCAAGGTACAGATCCTGTGGAAAGGAGGGGGAAAATAGGATCCATTTGATACACTCCTACTTCTGCCATTTGATGACCTACTTCAGCATATAGTGAAGATCATGTCATGATCATATATAGGTGTAGCACTATGAAAGGAAAGGAACAGAACTTAATATTGATGAACAGAGATAGATGATTTGAAGGACAGCATTGAATCAGTAGAGATAATTTGAGAAGGGAGTATGTTCCAATCTTTGATAGTCCGAGGAAAGAATGATTCCTTTCTTACAGATGTCCTGCACAAGATAGTTTGAAATGAGGTTTGATGACTATGCCTTGTTTGTCTAGTTATAGGGGTGAGCTCTTTAGTAGTAATGGCAGCTTTATTATGGTGAATTTATAGAGCATGGTCAGCCTCAGGTCTTTCCTGCGATCTGCAAGACTACGCCATTTTAAGTGTTCTAACATGAGGTGTTCTGATAGCGGATGCCAACGAAACGGGGAGCCCTGCGCTGTACCATCTCTTTATTTAAGTAAGGGTTCCATACTGGGCTAGCATATTCAATCTGAGGGCGGACCAGGGACTTAAAGGCCTTTTGTTTGATATTAAAGGATGAATTTTTGAAATTGCGCCTCAGGAAACCCAGAATTATTTAAGTCCGTGATAATGTGTTAAACAATTTCAGAACAAACTCTCATTTCTTTCTTGGGGGAACTTTTCTTCAGCAAAGGGGTGGGTGTAAAGCATATGTGTGATACAAATAGGAGTTCTTAGGCATAACTAGGCTGGTCACTGGTCATGCAGCTTAGATATATAACCTTTTAATTGTTTATACACAGGTGCTGCAAACACTAATACTAATATAATGTGTTTATATACTATGCTATTCTATAGTATAAACAGATCACATAACTACTAGTGTGTCCAGCAAATGTGTATTTATACTAAATTTATAGCAATGCAATTTGGGAAGATTTCATTAAACGAACAAAGTTACACAAACCAGTGCACAGAGTCCATCAATTTAGAACTAATGAAGAGAGGATTAAATATATCAATATAATTATGCTGATTATATACCATATGTTTCTGTTATATCCATCCCAGCGGTGTTTATCTGATGTAAAACTTTGACTAAACTCTTCTACTCATACATTTTTAAACATTGCCGCTTCCGCTTTGTGCTTTGAGGGTCACTGACACGTTTGAGTGAGTGCTATCAGTAGACATGAAGCGCCTTGGAGATCCCTAAAAGATATGTAATGATTTTGCGCAAACTATTTACTTCCGGTACTTTTCTTGTCATGTATGTCAGATTTGACGATAGACTTTTACTGTTCACAATGGATATAGGAAGAGAAGAATTATTATGGATGAGAAAACTGTAAGTAAAGATACAATTTACTCGGACTGCTCTGTTATTTAACTCTGTAATGTTTCAAATTTTCCACATTAAGAAGGTAACATGATGGTCACGGCTCCTATATTGAGTAACGTTAAACTCAAATGTGCTGTGTCCGCTCAACTGAAACGGCAACGAATACCACACATATGCAGGGAATCATGTATCTACATTTCATTCTATAATTGGTTGTCAACCCATTTTGTCAAAAGCCATTTTGATACCATCATTTTTTATTCAATCTACGTGTCATTTCACACAAAGTGGCGGTTCTGAAGCTTGATAATGATATGAAATGAAATTAATAACAAAAAATATATCGATTATGGTGAAAAAAGCCCTTTGGCTAGGGCGAAACGACCCGTGTAGTGAACTACATTGAGGACAGAACGTCCCAGATCAACAGCTTTGGGATTTTCCTATAAAAATATGCCCCCCTCACGTTGTCCAGTTTCCTATGATTTCTATAGACCTGTAGCCCAAGTTTGTATATCACTAGTTTATACGGTACCATACCACATTCTTCTTAAATGAAGCAAATTCTGCATCCATGATTATGCTTATGAATATATTTTTTTCTTTAATAATTAACTAACAATAGACTGAAAACAAATCTTAATATCATATATTTAAGCATCACGTTTATGATGTATTATATCATTATATCAAAACAGAAAGTAAACCCAGGATTATTTTTACATTTATTTTGACTGTGATTATATTTAAGAAGCAGATGTAGGCCTGGGACTTTCAGCCCATGACATTATTTTATAAGTAGATAAATTTGATTTATTTTACAAAAATTATGAAACAAGCTATTTCAACTTACCATATATTAATCAGTCTTGTTGGCTCTAATGGAAGCGGCAGAGGGTCTTAATGTGTGAGAAAACCGAAGTATTCTGAGAAAACCCATTTAGTCTGGCAGGTGACCCAGTACCTTTTCTTGTCTGATCAGGGGAAAGGAACCATGGCCATCTTGGTGAAAGTTGTCTATCCACTGTGCCACGACCACCCAATTATTTTCTTTACTTTTATCCACCATTTTGAGCAGCAAGTACTGGTTCACTATCCAGTTTCAAATATATTTCTTATCATTGACAACATGTGCACAATTTTGTTTGAAAATTCTTGGATCCTCACTTGCATACACTTTTCAAAGCAAATATATGTAAAATACTTTCTTGTCATGACAGCATGCTGTGGAGATAAGTTACAGGGAGGAGTACAAATTTGAGCATGATACAAGTTACCTTGTATAATTTCTTTTAATGATGGGTTTGTTAAACATAGTAATAGGTCGACATTTGGGTTTATTGACTTGGCAAATTGAAACCATCCAGGTGTGTTAACTATAAATCTTACAACCTGATTTAAACATCAATGTTAAGTGAGTTATACCTAATAATGATTATGCCCCTTTAATTACTGTGACGTCATGAATAGATTGACAATCTAAAATGTAAGGGGAAAATGAAATGTCTTTTTTTGTCAATTAACTTGTTTTTTATATATATAATTTACTTGAATTTTGTCAAGTTTGACATTTGTTAATACATTGTATATAATGTATGTAGTAGGACGATCGCGAGGAATAGTGTTATAAAAGAAAGTGCCGTCGCTAAGGCTCGAACCTGTGACCCTTGGCTATCCAGCCCGATGCTGTACCGCTAAGCTAAAGGAAAATTCCCTACAGCTGATGCTTGTAAGACAACCTAATTAATCCACATTTTACACTATTCCCCCCTTTTTTCAAACACCAACCCAGGTTCTTTGACTCCCCGCCAAGGGTTCTCATACCTTGAACGGGAAGGATCAACAGCACCAATTTTTAGTAGGATGAGGAATAGTGATATAAAAGATAGTGACACTGCTGGGGCTCGAGCCCACAACCCTTGGCTCTCCAGCCAGATGCTCTACCGCTGAGCTAAAGGGAAATTCCCTAAGCTGATGCTTGTAAGGCAATTAACCTAATTAATCCACATATTTTACAATATAAATGAAGGAATATGTGATAGCTGAAAATGCATATAAATTAATAGTAAATTTTTCAGAAAAGCCTCATGCTTTTTCAAGACAAGACAAATACTTCATCTATTTTCATTTTTTGATGGAAGGATAGAAATAGGTTTTTACAGAGGAACTATATAGGACGCCGGGCTCGTGACTGAAGGGTTGCAGGTTCGAGTCACGGCACTGTGTTGTATCTTTGAGCAAGATACTTTACTCTGCTTGTTCCAGTCTACTCAGCTGTAAATGAGTACGTGGTTGGGCAGTGCTAGAATTGTTGAATGCTAGCTGTTAGCGCCGAAATGGCAGCTCCGGCTGTATGCTCCCGAGGGAGTTGAGAAAGGTATTGGCTGGTTGCAAAGGCCCTATAATCACAGATAATAATTTGTAAACCGCTTTGAGATGACCTACGAACTAGGTGATAAAGGGGTATATAAGAAACTCAAATTATTATTATATTCAAAAAGCGAACCTGTCAATTAGAGCCTTAGTCAGCAGAATTTTTGTCAACTTTAACTGTCATAGAAATAAAAATGTTCGCGAAACAGACATACATGCTTTATTAATCTCTAACATCAGGGATGCTACAGACCAAAGTGTTGAGGTTGTGGCAGCTTCAAAGAAGAAAAACTGATTTTATAGAGACACACCCATTTGTCACAACAGATATGCATAGATATATTGTCATTTTAAGTAGGAATACAATTCAAGAACTTTATGCATTTCTGGCAGTTTGATAGCAGTTCCACCCTAAGTTAAAGGTGTTGTATTACATCATGACACATATACTATATATATACCATGTCCTTCAGCAAAGCTTTGTGAAAAGAATCTCTATGCTAAGATCACTGAAAACCTAACACCACAGCTGTATTTTAAAATACCCCTTGGTACATGTCATTCTTAAAAGAAAATAATTCTCCTGAATGCTGTATATATATATATATATATATATATATATATACCCAGTCATATCCTGCACACGAATGTGTCATTGCATTTATTTGCTAGTCAAATTTCAATTTCAAGTGTTTGGATTATAGCAATAATTAATGAAATATTTTGTGGGATAAAAAAATCAGCATTTGTAGATATACTTGTGAAATCCAACACTTTGCATTACTGAGACACATAATGACAAACTCTCTATATGGATATCAATTCTTATTTCAATATGCTACCTTTGTTGCTTTAACAAATTTATTCACTTATACATAAAAACTAAAGTTTTGGTACATCCAATGTTTTCTTAAAGAGCTGTATTTGGTCCAAGAAATTTAATTAGTAATATTTTTTATTTTTACAGCAATTATAAAACAACTTATTTAAACTTATATTATTTAGTAATATTTACTCTTGTTGGCCGGGATGTTAGTGCACAGAGGGGGTCTTGATATGGGAGGAAACCAAAGGACCCAGTATGTGGTCGGGCATGTGAGCCAATACCTTTTCACATCAGATTGAGGAATACAACCCCTGCACCTTTCATGTCTAGTAAGAGAATCCAACCCCAGCCGCCTTGATGAAAGGCGAGTGTGTTATTCACTGTGTCAACCAACCACCCAATTTAATTTGTATCTCATGACTAAATTGAAGCCTACGTTTCTGAATGAATGAATGTACAGCATTGCTATTTCCTTATCATGCATGCTTATTGCTTTGTGATGGAAAAATGTTCATGCCAAATACAGGTGCATAATGTTCCAATGCTAAAAACAAAAGAAAATGTTGTATAAAATTGAATGCTTTTGCATATTAATTTTGTATTTTAATTAAGTGTACCATTATTCAAGGCATTTAAAATATGTTGAAGACATTTATGTTAGTTACTGTGAAAACTTTTTTTAGTCCTTATACCTTCGTTTTTCAGGAAGGAAGTTGAATCGGACACTGTCATGTTTTCAACTATTTTGATAAACTTATTCCTATCAATTTACTATAAAACCACTTCATTCTCTATACTAACACCACATGCTATTCTTGTGATTATGAATATTTGAATTACCAAATTGAACTAAAAAAATGATGCATATTTAAAATGCATTACATGGTAATGAATATTCATGAGGAAATAGTGCTGTTTAGATTTATCAATTGAATCAGCATCTAGTCATTTTACGACCGGCTGACTAATTATGTCTCTTCTTCTTCTTCTTCTGGTTCTTCTTATCGCAACTTGTCCGGGCCATAACTTTTAAACTGTTAAATATATCTTGATGAAACTTTAGGTATGCATGCATCACCCACAGAAGGTGTGCAGTGTACTGGAATTAGGTCACTGTGACCTTCACCTCAAGGTCAAAGGTCAAATAAGCGCAACATTTTCAGTAAATTCTTGTCGGGACTGTAAATTTTAAACTGTTAAAGATATCTTGATCAAACTTAAAGTATACCTGCAACACCCACAGAAGTTGTGTATTGCACTGAAATTAGGTCTCATGCCCCACTATATACAGAGTTATGACCCTTTGTTTATTTTTAATACCAAAGTTTATCTATGGCGTAACTTCCATGTTAATTCTCCTACGTTGACCAAACTTGCAATAGTTTTAATGTATCTTGGGAAGAAGGAGTGTCGCATACTAAATTCGGGTCTCGTGCCCCACTATATAAAGAGATATTTCCCTTTGTTTATTTTTAATACCAAAGTTTGTCTATGGCATAACTTCCATGTTATTTCTCCTACGTTGACCAAACTTGCTATAGTTTTAATGTATCTTGGGAAGAAGGAGTGTCGCATTCTAAATTCGGGCCTCATGCCCCACTATATAAAGAGAT